AATCATCATCAAGAACAATTATATTGATTACATAAGTGTCATGAAATCATCATCAAGAACAATTATATTGATTACATAAGTGTCATGTAATCATCATCAAGAATAATTATATTGATTAAATATGCCATCAGGTAATCATCATTAAATATCCACCATCATAAATCATCAAATTGAACATATGATATAATGTGCCATATCATGAATATTTTTATACATTTTGTGGGCGTATATATATGTATATGTATATGTCTATGAATCATTCTACAATTCTAGCGTGGTACCACTCAGCGGTTTCGCTGAGCGTGTAGTTTGTATTTTTCGTTGACTACACGTAGGTAACAAGAAGACAATGATGGAACCTTTCCCGGAGGGCATTGAGTCAGAGGAGATGCAAGGATGGCAGGCAAATGTTGATCATCAGATTTTTAAATGTGTCATGATTTGATTATTATTGTACTTTCGCATTACTCTGAAAATATTTTTTTAAATGGGTCGCGATCCAGAGTCTGTAAATTTAATATGTATAAGTAATTGTCATTTTCAAATGTCAAGCGAAATTTTTATTTAACTCTCGTTTCACCTTAATTCGTGTAATTCCGGGTTATACGGATTGTGGTGTTACATCGACACTTCATCCCCTGTTGGGTATCTTAGCGCGAATCACCATACAGCTTAGGCTTAGCGATCTCTTTTGGTCGCTCCTTAGCGATCTTTTTTGGTCGCTTTTCTTTTTTCTTTTTTTTTTGAGAATTGAGGACAAGATATGCCAGAATGCTGGTTTTATTAAACTTTAAGAGAAAATGCGGCTAGAATACAATCTATTGGTAAAATTTAATAAGGTTGGCGGAATTCCATACTCGTAGAACGTCGCCTGCAACTGGTGTCTGCAATCTAAATGTCCCATTGGCCAACACCTCCTTTATGACATATGTCCCTTCGAAGCTCTTAGCAAACTTCCCTCCATCGGTCGGCCGACTGACCTCCCTTTTCCTAAGGACCCAGTCGCCCATTCTGAACTGCCTTGGTCGCACCCGCTGGTCGTGATATGACTTGACCTGCCGACGGTAGTTCTCTGCCCGTATGTACGCCCTTTCTCTTCGCTCATCAATGAGGAGCAGCTTTGCCCTCAAGTTTTCTTCATTTTCCTAGGCATCAAATGTCTCCACTCTATAACTCAGCAACGAGGTCTCTGATGGAGCCCTCGCTTCAAATCCATATGTGAGTGAGAAAGGAGTTTCACATGTGGCCTTCCTCGGGGTAGTTCTGTAGGTCCACAAGATGTAGGGCAATTCCTCCACCCACGCGCTTTTGCATTCTATCATCTTCTTCTTCAGGCCATCCATGATGTTACGATTAGTGTTCTCGACCTGCCCATTGGTCTGGGGTAACCGACCGCTACATAGCTGTGTTTTATGCCCCAGCTCTGTAGAAACTCATTGAACCCTCTAGCCTCGAACTGGGTTCCATTGTCGGTGATAATCTGCTGCGGCAACCCAAACCGGCACAAGATTTGCTTGGACACAAACTTCCTCATCTGTTCTTCAGTGATGGTCGGCACAAGGGCAGGCTCGACCCACTTGGTAAAGTAGTCGATCGCGACTACCAGATACGTGTTGTTCCCTGTCCCCCGAGGTAAAATACCAACTAGGTCAATACCCCACCAGGCAAAGGGAATCGTCGTGCTGATCGGGGTATAATTCCTCGCCGGTCGCCCCGGCACCTTTTGGAATTCTTGGCAAATCTTGCATTTACGCACATACTCTGCACAACCCCTGATAATCGTTGGCGAGAAATACCCTTGTAGGGTCACCTTTCTGGACAATGTGAAGGCTCCCTGATGTGCTGAGCATATCCCCTCATGGATTTCCTCCATTAACTTTTGCGCCTCGTCCCTTCTTAGGCATCTCAATAATGTGCCATTGTACGATCGCTTGTACAGCCGATAGCACTCTAGCGTGTAGCTAGGTGCACGTCGTTTCACCACCTTTGCTGCGATTGGGTCAGTAGGTAACGACCCGTCAAGGATATACATGGTGATCTCATCGATACAATCCGGCTCTTTGAGTGTGATGACCAGCACTTGTCCGAGACTGATGCTTGGTTCGAGCAACTCTTCTTCCTGGGTCATTGCCTTGATATGTTCTGGGGAATCCGGACCAAGTTTCGACAGGATGTCCGCCTCGGCATTCTCCTCTCGGGGGACCTGCTCCATCCGGTATGCCCCGAATGCTTTAGGCAACTCCAGAGCGGTGTCCCTGTATTTCTTCATTCGCTCATCCTTGGCTTCAAATTCTCCTGTGACATGGCCTATTATCAATTTAGAGTCGCATCGGACCTGAATTCGTTCAGCTTTTAATGAAGCCGCCAGCCTCAACCCGCAAAGCAGCGCCTCATATTCAGCCTCATTGCTTGAGACTTAAACTGGAATCTCACGGAGTAATATGCTTTGAACCCTTCCGGTGATATTGCCACGACACCTCCCCCCGAAGCATCAGTCGCGGACGAACCATCAGTGTACACAGTCCACCAGTTCCCCTCGGGCTCTTCTCCACTAGGCTCCACCTCTCTTGCAGTGCATTCTACCACGAAATCTACCAATGCTTGCCCCTTTATCGCCGGTCGCGGTTTAAACTCTATCTGAAAAGATCCCAGGAACACTCCCTGTAACACCCTAATCCGTCCAGGTCTGCAGCCCCTTTCAGACTAAAGTATTTACTTGGTAATCGTAAAATTTAAAACTTCTCAAACACTTTTATTTATCACAATAATATCTTTCGTAACATATACAGTGCGGAGTTTTCAATATTGCGGAAGCTTAACAAATCATAATTACAAACATAATTTGTTTATGTTCTTTAATTCAAAACCATCACATCCATTCCGACAATATCGCCTCCGTCTGCCTCCAGAATCACGTCACATCATTCTTTCTATTAACCTGCGTGTAGCAAATAAAACATAGTACACGCTCAGCGGTGAAGCTGAGTAAGCATATCTAATGCGTCGAACATCCATATAAATTGAACCCAAATTCATAATCAAATCATTTGATATCATGCACAAAGTATTCAGTTCAAATATACAATAATCAATTTTCAACATTCGTCATTCAATATTCATATTCAACATTCAACATCCTCATTCAATAGTATCCTTAAACTATTCTTAGTCTAAGGCCAATCTATTTGATGTTTACCAACTCTTAAATGAATTCTAGTTTAAGATAGTTAAACTATATTCGAGTTTAAGGTACTTCTAACCAATTCTTAAACTAATTCTAGTTTAAGGTACTTCTAACTAACTCTTAAACTAATTCTAGTTTAAGGTACTTCTAACCAACTCTTAAACTAATTCTAATTTAAGGTACTTCTAACCAACTCTTAAGCTAGGTCCTTAGTTTAAGGTACATATTTCTAATTGATTTACCAACTCTTAAACTAGCCTTCGCTTAAGGTACAAATCTAGAAAACCGAACAGTAGGATACTAATTGTCGGGTTGGGTGGCATCCCCAAACGAGTTCCTCTAGTTTGGTTATGGATCCCGTACGTACCTTTTAACCCAGGCCAACGAATATTCATAATTATACCCGCAAGGCCTATTTCTAAGTCATCTTAGAGGTCTTCTAAATAGTCTTAGAAACCAACGTCAACCTAGGTATATCTTAGAGTTCTTCTAGATATCCTTAGAATTCAAATCATTTCATAATCATCAACATATTCATTTCAATTCATAATTTAATTTTCAACAATCATTTTAATCACTAGTTTCATCAAGTCATAATCATCATAATAATCATTCATCATAATCATCAATCAACATAACATTTGATAACAAACAGCGGCCTAGTCTCGAGTGTTAACACCCGAACTTACCGTCATGCATCACATAGTATTTTATATGCCAAAAACATCATTGTTATTATACAAAATCATATTTATATTGTGCATAATTAATTGGTATCAAAAATAGGATTTCATAGTTCAAAAATCATGTTTTCTAAACAATAACTGATTAATACTCCCTCCGTCCTATAATGATCTTCCCGGTTCGCAAAACGAAGAAAAATCCCAAGTTTTTTCAATCTATTTTATTTAAATATTGGTATAGAAATAAAAATAAAACATACATATTTAAAAACTACACCAAAAGTTCAACAAAACAAGTGGTGACAAGAATATTTTATTTTATCATATAGGCCATGAAAAAACACAAATAAATATAAATTCCCGTGAAGTTGGAATAGTGCTCTGGGAAGATCATTATAGGACAGAGGGAGTATATGATAGGAAATTCAATTATTAACTATTAGCTTCATTTTCTTCAATAGTGTAGGGAGACAGTCTACTGTCACTTCTGATAATCTACTGTCTGATATTCAGAATGGGCTGATAATCGATTATCACACTCTGATAATCGATTATCAAACTTCAGAGAGGGCTGACAGTCGATTATCACATTCTGATAATCGACTGTTGCTCAACTTTGTTCAAAAAAATCTGCAGAACGATGAATAATCGATTTTCAAGTACTATTAGCTAATAGGTAGCAGAAGATGGAGCTCGGTTGAACGCCTTTACAGTGAAAATGAGTGGTTTGAAGTTAATTTCATATATTTTTACAAGAGGTTCCAAGTACCTAGTAAAATCGTAGTAATTAAGTATTAAAATTGTAGTTAAAGTACCAAATAGATTCTTAGTTCTTCAAGCATGTCAAACACAAAACTCAAGCAAATGACCATTTATGAACGTAGAAACGACCTATATGAACATTCTAGTCATTAGATATATCTACGGGCTTACCTCGAAGCTTAATGGAGGTTTTGAGAATTTTCTGGCGAAACATCCAGCGACGATAACTCTCAACTCCGGCGACCTTACACCAAATTGACAGCACCACTGCGTTCTCCACACTCAAGGCTATCTCCCAGAACGAATTTGATGAAGAATGGTGAAGAAATGGTGAAGTTTTGCTTTCCATTATATAGAAGAAGAATGGAGAAGAGGCCTATGGTTCCTGCGTCACTTCTCTGTTTGAGCGGCTAATGGAGCGGACGGCGATTTCTTCCCATTTCAAACGCAAGTCCCTGATTGGGACTAATTTGGTCCCAGTCGAGGTACACTTTTTGGTCTAACTTTCTCCGAATTGAAATCCGTTTGCATCGTTGCGATCAGACAGTCGAGCTTTATTCAACGATATAATATTCATATTTATTTGTAATACTTTTTCCGACATCATATTTTTGAGTGTTTGACTTGGACAGAGTCAAAATTGGTTTATTTGACCTTTATTCAAAAAGGTTCTCACATTTAATTCATATCATTTGTTCTCATGATTTATTTCAATAAATCATTTTAAAGTTCATATTATAAATTATTTCTTCATTTATTCTTGATTTGGGTCTGTACTCAGGTTCCCAATCAAGACCACACAAATACTCAACATATTGGATTTATCTCTTTGAGACTCATCCTGATTTGTGATATTGGATGTCAAAACACATTTCATTTCGGCCCAAATCCCAATAACTATTTATTTTAATCGAAACAAATTTGACTAATTGAATATTTATTTATTAAAAATTTTAGGGTATGTTTTGGGGCGTTACACTCCCCACTTGCTTACCCGCGACGGGGCATTTGGGCTTCGAAGAAAAGTTCCGATTGGAATTTGAGATAACACATGGATCGGATGGGCTTGAAAATATGGGGTGAGCTTCCTCACTGTACACACCACCGCGAAGATGGTTTTTTCCATGTTTGTATATCTCAGCTCAGGCCCTCGCAACACCCTGGCCACATAGTACATAGGTCGCTGTGTGCCCTCCTCCTCCCTCACTAGCACTGAGCTCACAGCTCGGAGAGAGATTTCTAAGTATAGGAATAGGGTCTCTCCGGGCTCTGGCTTCGAAAGCACCAGTGGGGAGAGGAGGTATGCCTTCAGCCCTTCAAAGGACCATTGGCATTCTTCGGTCCAGATAAACCCTCTGTTCTTCTTAATGGTCTGAAAGAAAGGTGCCGCTCAATCAGCTATCTTCGACAAGAAGCGACTGAGAGCCGAAATCCTGTCGGTGAGCTGCTGGACTTCCTTCACATTTCACGGAGGCTCCATCTCCAATATTGCCCTCACCTTCTCCAGATTATGTCCTAGAAAGTTGCCCCCTGAACCCCGAATGTACACTTCTTGGGATTAAGGCGGAGCTGGAACTTCTTCATGATCTTAAAGACCTTCTCCAAATCTTCGGCGTGGGACTCCATTCGCTTGGACTTGAAGATCATATCGTCCACATACGCCACCATACATCCCCCTAACACCGACGCAAACAATTTGTTGACCATCCGTGCGTAGGTCGCTCTGGCATTCTTCAAGCCAAATGGCATTACCCTGTAGCAGTACACCCCATTAGGGGTAATGAAAGCGGTCTTCTCTTCATCTGCTGCAGACATTTTGATTTGATGATACCCACTAAATGCATCCATAAAACTCATCAGCTCACATCATCAGCTCACACCCTGTTGTCTCATCAACCAACTGATCAATGTTGGGGAGTGGGAAAGGATCCATTGGGCAGGCTTTATTTAGGTCGGTGTAATCGACGCACATCCGCCAGGTATTCCCTTTGGGTGCGAGCACTACATTCGCCAACCATTCCGGATAGCGGACTTCCCGGATGTGCCCAATGGACTGCAGGGTTGTCACCTGTTGGTGACAAAATCTCTCGAGTCTGAAGAAAGGAAACGTTTCTTCTGCTTGACCGGCTTGTGGGTTGGGTCTACCGCCAACCTATGGCAGATGATCTTTGGGTCGACCCCGGGCATATCTTCTAGGCCCCAAGCGAACAGCACCTTGAATGCTTGGATGACCTCCAACAGTTGTTTCTTTAACCTAGGCGGTAAAGTTTTACCTACCTTTACCTTCTGCTCTGGCTTGACTGGATCCAATGGAACTTCTTCGACTTCTTCCACTGGCTCAGCTCGAGGTCGCCCCTCTTCCTTCTGGATTGCAGCACAGATCGTGCTCACATTCCCGTCGACAGGCTTTGATTCCCTTTTGCCACCCCCACCCCTGTGGGGGTCTTGAACTTAAGGCACAGGTGGACGGGAGAGATTACGCACTCCAGGTCCTCCAACCCTGGTCGTCCAGAATCAAATGGTGTGCATAGTCGAGCTGCACTACCATGAATTCCATGTCGATCCAGAGTTGGTGGGTGCCATCTCCTACCCCGGCCTTCACCGTGATAGTTCCTTCAGCTTCGATGGTATCTCCTGTGAACCCTGACAGTGGCATATGGATTGGCTTCAGGTCGCTTTGAGACAACCCCAACTCCTTAAAGGTGTTGCTGTACATAACATTGACTGAGCTGCCCGTATCAACCAAAGTTCAGTGGACAACCACATTATTGATCTCCACCTTTATCACTAGAGCGTCCCTTGTGAGGGCTGAGGACTGGTGGCTAATCCTCGTCTGTGAAAATCAGAGGTTCCTTCTTCTTCCGCTTAGGTAGCGGCGGCCTTTGCACATCAGCCAGGTACACCATGCTCCTCCACTTCTTCCGTGAGGACACCGAATCTCCCCCAGTGTTTCCTCCCATGATGAATCGACACCCTAGGTGTCGGCGGCCCTGCCTTTCCTCCTCATCCATGTCGTCACAATCTCTCCACGGATGTCGTTGTCCATCCTCCTGACCTTCTCCTGCTGTGATCGCTGCTTTGGGGGCTGCCGATCTTCTCCAAGTTCGGTTACTTGATGATGGTCACTCCGACCGAGGAGGCGGCCCCCTGGCGATCAACTGATCAACCTCCTTTTTCAGCGTAACGCACTCCGACGTGTTGTGGGTGTTGTTACGGTGGTACTCGCAGTATTTGGGTGTTTCTTGCACACCATAGCTTTCCCGACTGCGAGGAGGGGCACGCAAAGACTGCACCGCATGAACAGGATGTCTGTTCTCATGATACCCGGTGGGGTTTGGCTCCTTACCGTAATCCTTCCTTTTCTTTCCTTCTGCCACCGGTGGCCCACTTTTCTTCTCCTTCCGGACTGGTGGCTCATCGTCTTCCTCTTCCAACGCCAGGTATTTCGCCCTGGCCAACATCTCTTGATAGGTCGAGAGTGGATTCCGTCGCAGCTCCTTGCGCACATCCCCTTGGGGGAGTGCAGCTTGGAGCATGGCAGGGCTTTGTCGTCCGCTCCTTGGACGTCCCTGGCCTCCTTCTCCCACCTATTAATGAATTCCTGGAGCTTCTCTCCCTTCCGAATCTTTACATTGAGCAAGTGCGAGAAGGGGAGCTTTTGTCTTCGGCTGGACGCGAAGTGCTCCAAGAACTTGTGGGCGAGGTCGCTCCACTTATCTACCGATCCCTTGGGCAGCTTGTGGAACCATTCACAAGCCTGCCGTTCTAGTGTTGCTAGGAAGCATCGACACTTGATTTCTTCTGGGTATGCATACATGACCACATTCGCTCCAAAACGAGCAAGGTTCTTTTGGGGGTCAGTCGTCCCATTGTATGCTTTAATCTGGGGAGTTTTGAAGTTGTCTGGAAGAGGACAAGACATTATCCTCCTGGATAAGAGTGTTACCTCACTGAAGACCGCCTGGCGGTAGGGGTTTTGGGCGTCCAGCCGCTTCTTCAATTGCTCGTACATTCTCCACAGCTCGGCTGCACCCTTATCCTCGACCGTCCTTCGTCGCTCCCCAGAACCGATCTTGGAGGTCATTGAGGACTCCCATCTTCTCTCGAACGCAGAGTGTCTTGCAACCGCTCGAACGCAGAGCTCCGGGGTTTCTTTGACTTGGGATCTCCCAAGCGGTCAAAAGCAGACATCCGCTCGAAAGAGGACGACTCGTCTTCTTTGTCCAGTCTGGACAACGCGTCTTCCATCATAGCCTTCCCATTAGGCTTGGTCGCCTTCTTCTTCTGGGATCGCCTTACTCTCTTCTTTTTTCCCTGGGAGCCCGTAGGTCCAGCCTTTCCGCCTGTGGGTCCCCCAACCACATCTTCCACCACAATCTTGCGATTGGGCGTTAGTACCGCCAGCACCTCCTTGAACTGTTCAGCCGTGATCCCGACCCTCTGGATGAGGGCATCTGTTTCCACCGTGGTGAAGGGGGGTGCCGGCCTCCAGTGGTGCTGTTTTCTCCCTGGTGGGGAGCTCCGATACCTGCTTAATTATGCTGCGTGTTTGCACCATCGTCTTTGTGGAGGGTTTCCTCTGAGTATGATTCTCGAACTCTCAATGAGAGCACCAATTTGATGGACAATAAATCCACCGAATAATCTGATTCAGAGAACGGATCGCAAGAACAAAAATTAAGAACGAGAATTCGAGAATTGAGTATGTATTATTAGCTTGATCTAGCTTGAATTCTCCCCTTTCGGGTCCCCTCTATTTATACATAAGTTCTGAATAATTAAGGTAATACATGATCAAAGGAGTTTTATCCCGTCAATGGCGTGATCCTCTTTTTCCGGCTCCGTAACCGCCATTCTGCTCCGCCTTCTTCTCCGGATTAACTATGCCAGCTACCCTTGGGCTGGGGCTAACCGGGCTTAGCCTTATGGGCCGACCCAAGCCTAAGTGTTCCCCAAGTGTTTGACCCGAGATTACATAAATGGCTCATTTGGGCCGCCCGTTGGATATCGGCCCATCATTACCTTTTTAAATTAAATTGGGATAGGCCAGTAGGCAAGGTGCAATTTGCAAGGTAAGGAGTTAGGTGTCTTATATACAGGGATGTATCTATTATTATTAATAAGACCAATTTATTATCAAATTATATTATGGTATCGAAGTAGGATTCTGAAAAAACTAATCCTTCCTTTTCCAACCAAAAACATTGATATTCTCTAGTCTCGCTAGTCGATCATCCGACAGCATGGCGTTACCAACCAATCTCGACGAGCATGCCTAATCGCCGACGTCCATTATCCTTCTCTTTCTCTCAAAAGAATCATTGTCTCTCTCTACCAAAAAAATCATGTGCATGATCAGAGAATGGAAAAGTTGCATTTGACTATATATATTTTCCAAGAGATCAAGAGTATGGATAGCAATAGAAAATAAAAAAACAGCCCAAAAGGAGAAAAAAGAAACTCCCCGCCCTTGCTTCAATCGTCAACATCTCACCAAAAAAACTCAACAAACTTAACCTCAAACTCGTTTGTCGTGCAACAAAGATCTGGCTCTGTATTTCTACCGGTCATCCTCACAAACTTGCTTTTGCCGGCTCAATCTCAATACCTGTATTCAAAGCTGCTTCTCGTTACCGATGATCAGCTTGCGAGAGATATAAAGAATGATAGATGTATTAGAAAATATAATATTACTATCTATTACCTTCTTTATTATATTACTTCTTTATTATATTATTATCATAAGAAACAAACTAAAATACAAAGATTATTATAACTAATACTACCATTATTATTATTACTATTATTATTTTAATTATTATTATTATCCTATATATATATATATATATATATATATATATATATATCCTTTACTATAATAAAGGAGACTCTGATTCACAAGAATTTGACATTTGGCGTGTCTATTTGGAAAACTTTTAACATGGCTGCGCCACGTAATCCTTTACTATAATATTTGAGACTCATGTCTCCAAGAACTTGACATGTGTCATCTTACATGGAAATTATTTAATTGACATGGCATATGAATAAATTACATGACATGTTTTAAATTCTCATTCAACATTTATGGAAATTTATTTATGATAACCTTTAAAATATGATGAGTTTAAAACAATATATTTTATATTGAAAAATATCCAGTTTTTAATTTATTGAAAATTATCTAAATGAAACAAATATTATTTTTCAACAAAAAGTAAATAATTTAATCATAAAAAAGAGACTAATCATGATTAGCCCGAGTCTTTTTTCATAAAAATAAAAATCATATTAAAAGTATTTTGAGTAAAATATAGTTTTTTAACAATTATTAATTTATTCTTTTGTATGAAAATTTATTGAGCTAAAATATACTCTGAAGAAGCTCATCTTATACCACTAATTAAAGATGAGAAATTTATTTAATGAATTTAGTGCATTATGGGTTTTTGTATATTAGATAATTTTTAATATGAAAAGTTTGTGGTTTAATGTATTCAATAACTTTTTTAATAATTTAAATTTCCTTAAATATATAATAGAGAGTAAAAAAAATCTATCAAGATTTAAATTTGTTTGAGATATTATATATATTTACATCACAGTATTGATAGTCTTTAAAAGTATTTATTTATGATAGAAACGGTGTTTGTAAATGATAAAACTTTTGTTTTTAAATGAAAGTATTTTTATAAAGGAAATATAAATTTTAAAAAGAATTGTTTTCATCCTCTTTATTAGTAGGACTTTTTGAGCCTTTATTTTTCTTTATTGGAACATAGTTTTCATAGATAAATATATAACAGTAAAAATATATAATTGAAAAAAATATAATTTTGATATTCATATATTTATAGATTCAAGTATCGAATGACAACGTATATATATTTTTGAATAAAATATATTAAAATAGTTCCAACGCTTTACATGGTTTGAATAAAGGTATGAATACCTCATTTATTTTCAAAACTTATTAAAAAATGTCTATCATTTCAAAAGGTTGCACACGCACCACATCGGTTCATACTATTTTCCATTCATTTTTTTATTAAAAAGGGGGCATTCATACGCATTCCAATCAACATGAGGTGATGAGCATCAATGCATATTATCATTCTTTTTAGCTTTTTCATATATAATTGTTCATTATAATGTTTTAAAATTCAAATTGGTTTGTATTTGAAATAAAAACCGAAATTAAAAAAAGCATATAATTTCTCCATCTAAAGTTAAACATTTTTGTTTTTATAATTTTGGATGAAAAGTATTATTGTTGATTCTACATCCACTTACTTTAGGTGGTTCCAGATGACACTAACTTCAATAGAAGTATCTACAGTGCATCGTTCACAAAATTAATGGTTCCTACCCTCGACACCCGGTAAACTCCCACCCCAGAGCAAGTGGCTCTAGAATCATTTCGATAATAATAGTTGTAATAATAATAATAATAATAATACAAAAAAATGCGGGCAAATAATTTTTTAAACACTATTGAAAAGAATCAGAAGAAGCTAGATAAAACTAAAAGAGTGGAAAAAACATAATGACTTTCCCTAAATAGCAACATATATTTTTTATTTCTCGATGTAGCATTTTTAGTCATTATCCATTAGTCGTTATTAAAATAAATGTTCACCATCACATGATATTATTTCTCCTTCTAGACATTATTAAATGTTATTTAAGGGATAAAAATTTAAGTCTTTTATTGGGAAATGACTTATGTTTTAGTGCTATTTAGTGCGGATATTTCTCATAGTTATTGTTTCTACATTGCATTTCGTAGAAAAGACATTTGGTGAAAATATATCTTCATTAAAAAAATTAATTCACAATGATGAGATTAAATTTAAATATATTCATTAAAAACAAACACCCAATATTTACCTTTAAAAAAAGGAAAATCTTTGTATTATTATGTGGTGATGTTTAATATGAATAGTGGAAAAAAATAGATTGATCATATCTATAGTCAACACTTTAAAAATAATCTAAATTTAACATCAATCTAGACTTGGTTAGGAATACCTTATAATATTTGTTTTGTGGTGATGTTTTATGTGAATAGAGGAAAAAAATTATGGTTCATATTTACAATTTATTTATGATGGGTATTACAAGTAGAGATGGAGAGGCATCGTCGTCAGGTGCAACGCCCCACTGTCAAACACACACAAGAAGGAATGTACTTTCTGATGTGACAAATGGTATTTATAAATTTTGAATAAAAAATTTAATTATTCCATTTTTTTAAATTGGTTGAAGGGTTACTTATGAAGTAAAACGTCACAAAACGTAATTTTAACAACTTGAAAATTTTATCTGTACAATATAATGCTTCAATCAGAAAATAATTGTACATCCATCTCAGCACAGTTGCATGAGCAAAAGAGAAAAAGAAGAACTAATCTATCATTTGTAACACGTGCAATAAATTTCCGGCGGGTTGCAGCGTTTTCCGACCACCTCCGGCAAAATTGACGTTGCGCATCCCCTCCAAAGTGTTCCTGGCATCTCGGCGACCCCCAAGGACCCATCAATTGCAAGATTTGATGGCGATTTGCAAAAACTCCCAATTTTGGATTTTAGTGTTTCTTCGTTTGCAAAAATTCAAATTCGAGGAGTTGCAGGCCAAATTAGACAAAATGATTTGGATATTCTTGATCCTCATTCCAAGACGAAGAGAACGGCGTTGGTGCCGCCGGAATCTGACCAGGTTGACTTTCCGGTGACTTTGACAGGCGGGAAGAGGATGACGGCGGCGTGCAGGAGTGGGAGCGGAAGAAAAGAAAAAGAGAATTGGGGTCAAATTGAAAATTTTAAAATATATAAAATTCTAATTTGGCCCAAATGACTGGAAGTTAACATGGAAACGAGTAAATGGACTTTTAGTAAAGGATTATGTAAGTTCAGATATTTTTGTGAAAGGATTTGAATTTTAGGTACCACTTCAAAATTTCAGCTAAAGTTCAAGTACCATTGGTGAAATTTACTCTTTTTAATTTCTAGAAACTTAGCTCAGGAATTCAGCCGGTTCCTTAAACAAGACCTATACTTTTACACTCTGTCTCGCTTAAATTGTTTGTTCGTTACCATCTTGATTCTTTAAGCTTTTAATTAACTTTTAAATATATAATTTTTATTTATTAATTACGAATTAATTTTCAGAAAATTGAATGAAAATTAATTTCAATCAACCATCGTAAGTATCTTAAGAAAATGATTGAAGTGTAATCTTGCAAAGAGCAGACATGCAATTTAATTTGAAACGCAGAATGTAACAGACAATTTAAATTTATCGATTCAAAAGAGCTTTATGCAAAAATAGCGTAAAGTCTTTAATATTAGAGCAAAAAATAGTTGCAAGCACTTGGTGCAAAGATAAAGGCTTCATTCAATGCTCCGTAAGTTTTACGACAGCATTAGCAGTATGGCCTTTTTGGCGTCTTTTTTTCTCATCCTTTTAATGGAAAAATTAGTGTAAAGACTTTCCATTTTCTACCTACGTCATCATTCCAACACAATGGTGGAGGGGACGTGGCTTAATGTACTCCATATACATATAAATAAAAACCAACCAACATGGGCAGCTAGACTTACGGGCAGGTGAAAAGAAAAATAGTGGGACATGGTAAGAAACATGAAAGAAAAGTTACAAGACTCCATTTTCCACTTCCACTACAAAATTTACTGTTCTATTCTCAGTTTCTACAAACGTGTGAAAAAAAAGGAGAGAATTTTACCCCACCCCACCCCAGAGGAAAGGCAAATTACAAATGGCACAATCATTTTCTTTAACCCTTCAACTTGTTCTTCCCCAACCCTTCCCCCTTGCAGCAGCAGCTGTCTGGTTTGTACGTTGCAGCGTGAACCGGGACCCGCGGCTATTTCCATGAAATGCTTGTACCTCTGACTCCAGAAGAAGTCAAGAATCAGAAATCAGGCATGCCGCTAGATCTTGACGAGTACTCCGAGACCAGCTTTAGAAACATAGAGGATTTGTCCTCTAGTAGTCGAGCCGGGGTGTCAAACTCAGCTATTCGACCTGCATTTTACACATATCATTGTTTAATCGTGTCCTACAACAAGAGCTTTAGAGAAATTCATTCATTGTAATAAAAGATTGCTGAAAATGTGTGGTTTGATGGGACCAAATTTTTTTCTTGGGGACTAGAAATGAGTAGGTGCGTTAATGATGAAGAAACTCACCATCGCTGAGGACCAAAACAAGGTCGCTATCAATTACAGTAGGGATGCGATGTGCGATGGTGCAGACGGTGCAATCCTTGAATTCTGTTCTGATAATCTTTTGGATTAGGTTATCTGTGGCTGAATCCACTGAGGCTGTTGCTTCGTCCAGCACCAAGATCCTGGCCTGTTTCAGTAGTGCCCGGCCTAGAGATACAAGCTGCCTCTGCCCTACGCTCCAATTGTCACCGTTTTCTAACACTGGAACACGCAGATAAAAAAGATGTTCATTTAGAGACAAGATCTAAATATAAAAAAAAAGATTAGTTTTGAATATATTTAGAGGGGAAAAAAGAGCATATAAGCAAGCTTATGCCTGGGGTGTCCAGTTTTTGCTCTTTTTGTCGAATTATCTCTCCAAGTTGTGACTTGTCAAGTGCCTGTGCCAATTCACATATGGTTAGGCCATATTATTCCTTGTTGATAGATCAAAAGCAAAGCTTTTTTTTAGAGTGTCTTATCCTATTTATTGAAGTTAGGTGCTCAAACAAAACCAAGAAGGCTCAAGGTTTGAATAGTCCGAACATAGGCATGGAAAATTCATTGCCATTCAGTGATTCAATCGAAACCTACAATTAAGTATGTTTGAATAACGCATCATTTTCCAATATGTACTGAAGTGGAACAAAAATAACAACACTTACCTGCCATATTTGTTCATCCGTATTTTCTTCAAGGGGGTCAAGGTTGCTTCTAATAGTGCCTTCAAATAATGCAGGATCTTGGGGTATTATACTCAAGCGACTGCGAAGATCATGCAATCCGATAGTTGAAATGTCAATATTGTCAATAACTATTCTTCCCCCGTCAGGTTCGACCATTCGGAATAGGGCCTGAATCAGAGTAGACTTCCCACTTCCAGTTCGGCCAACAATTCCAATTTTCTTCCCGCCAGGAAATATGCAAGATATGCCATGGAGTACTGTAGGAAGATTCTCCTTGTAACGGACCTATAACAAACCAAAGAGTCAGAACCTATTCAGATTGTGTGTTTATTCATCATGGAAATACGGCATAAGTAATTAAGTACACACAGATGTGGCACTCCATGTTGTAGCATCACTAAAATTCTATGCATATTTTAGATGAGGGGATTTGTAAAATAGATGCATAATGACTTCTCTGTCATATTCCTTTGAACCAACTTTAACACTTGAAACCTAAGAGTTGCTCATTATATTTTCACCTCCCTTGCACTATGTTTGGTTCAAGGTATATGAAGGAGAAAATAAAAGAAAATGATAGGGAAAACAATTTTTCTTGTTTTGATAGGGAGGAAAAGAAAAGAAACATGAAGGGAAAAAATGATAGAAGAAAATGAAGTAAGGAAAATGAATTTCCTTCCATTTTGGTGAGGAAATTTAGAGAAACCACTTTCTTTTCTTTTCCATTCAGATTCCACGAACCAAACATAGCATTAATGCCATATGTTCGCCATCCCTTTGCATTTCATAACAAAGTAAATAGCTTATCTGTTCGAGCTGTAACACAAAAAGTTAACACAACACCTGCACACTATATGTCTAATTGTTCATAAAGAACCTTTGTTGTTTACACTCTACATACTCTTATTTCTATATAAACCAGTAAACAGAATTTCAAGAGAATGTTTTAATTTGAATCAGAAATAACACTAGTGAAACGTGAGATGCATACCTTTAATTCAAAGAGTTCAATGTTTCCTTCTTCTGGCCATGACAATGGAGGCCGAGAACTGTCAATAACCATTGGAGCCTCACTGGGTATTTCACAGTATTGATGAATCCTTTCTAAAGAAATAATTTTGTTTTCAAGCTTGCAAAAGCTAAGTATCCACCGTGATAGGCGTGCATTCAAGTTCAGCCCATATGTTACGGCAAGTCCTGCCATACCTATAAAAGAGGACACTTCACTTATTAGATTAGTCAAGAAAAAACATTCAAGGCACCCCCTTCGTTCTATAAGTGTTCTCACATTCATTGACACAAAATTCAAGAGCGTAAATCTAGGGAGGTTCTTTTTTTGGATTTTTTTGGAATACATCAAAAGAAACTACTCATATATATTTTGGTCAGGATTAAACTTTGAATTTAAGGAGGGATGGGGCTTCATTTGGGAAAACAAACATGATCAAGGACTTATCTTCAATTAATACTCAAACATTAACATTATGAAGGATTAGGAATTCCTTGTATATATTAAACAAATCATGAATTCCAAACATTAGAAAAGTTCAAGCAGTTCCTAGTGTTACTTTTTGAAACTTGATGGTTCCACAAGGTATCTAACTACAAGAAAGGCCCCATACAATTCTTAGCTAGCTGGATATGGAACATCAGAGAGATGCTTACTCGGATCTATACTTCCAACGGGAAAACTCACAAGCAAAACCATGCAAAATGAGAAGACACATGTTGAAAGCAACTCCATGCGTAGGCAGAGCCATTCTATAGCAGCTATACTGCAGAAGAATGGGCGTGTGAAACAATCAAGAAGATAGAGATTCCTTTTCATAAATCTTTTCTCTTGCCCGAAACCTCTGATTGTAGCGGCTCCAGCAATTGACTCACCAAAGAGATGTATGATTGGAGATTTTTGAATGCTGACAATCCGAACCAATTCCCTCGAGGAAGCCATATAGTATTTCTGTAAGCATGCGTATGCAGTTAAGAGTTTGCACTTTGGAAACATTGTGCATCAAGATTATTCATTCAAATTTAGCATGTTACATAGTGACTTCATGCATTGCATCATATATATATTTATATATTTCCTAAATTTGAGACATTCATGATTCATGAAGAGCTGGCTAAGAAGTAATTTTAGATATTCAGGCATTTTACAACACAGATGTTGGTGAATGCTTGAGAGCATTGCACTTAGTTTTGCCACTTTTGCAAATTATTAGGCTGCCTTTTGCTTATTGACCGGGTTTCTCATTTGGGGTTTGGCACTTCAAAGTCGTTGCAGGTCAGGGACGGCTCTAACCGGTTCAAAACGCATTCCTTTAATAGGATATGGCTGTTGACCCTGCGGATACAAGGAGAATTAGGGGCATTTTTTGTTCAGATCGGCACATGACCCACGACCCCAGTTTTTTAAATAATTAATTCTTCGCTGTTTTTCGTTTCAGCGATAAGTTAGGGAACCTTAGGTAACAAAATGCAGTGTAACTGCAAACACTTCTTTCTCATAATTAGATATCCAAGAGACGATTCAGCCTAGTGACGGACTCTTTTCATCTTCTAGTCACTGCAGCAGCCAACAGGTACACTATCTTCTTCTCTTCAATCTTGATCTTCAATTATTTTAATATTTTCAATCAAACTATCTTCAAATCATTTTAATATTCTCAATCAACCTAGTGAACTATCCTAAATAATGAAGTATTAAACATGTGTACTTGACTTTTTAAAGTATTTGTAAATTAACTACTTCCTCCATCCAGCAAAAATCTCTCTTAGTTACTCCCTCCATCCCTAAAAAAAACTCTTGATTTGGCTTGGCACAAAGTTTAAGAAAAGTAAAATTGTGTGATTGAAAGTAATGCAGAGGAGAGAGAAAGATTGTGAGCCATAGAATGATTTTGAAAACTAGAAAAAGGAGTCTTGTTTTGGGACGTCCCAAAAAAGAAATGAGTCTTATTTTGGGACAAAGGAAGTAATATTCACAAATTTCAAATTATATATTCTTTCTTTACAAATTTTCTTTGATCATTATATAAAATAATATAACCATGTCATCTCTTGTTTCAAAAAACTTTTGGTGTAATTTTTAAATAAATACCCCAAGTAAATTTTAGATAAATTGAATTAAAAACAAATTCAGTCAAACATTGTAAATCAAAATCAAAACCTCTTTATAAGACAAAAGTTGTATTTAAATATTTTAACAAAACGACACAAACGTCACAAAGGCAAAAAACAAATTGATGTGGATGCTGAAGTGCCAAAGAGTAAACATGAGTGGTAGTTTGTGTTCTATATTTGTATTAACAATTTCAAATATGCTACTTTTGACATTACATAGTATTCACTATTTTGTCATATGCCTTTGGATTGTTATTTACTAATTAATCTTGAATTTTTACATTTATGATGCCTATTTTTAATGTTTTATTATTAATTTGTTGCTGTATCTTTTCCGCACCCGCGTCCTCTGATATTTAAATTTGCCGTTTTCCTTCCCCGTGTATGCTCCCGCACCTGTCCCAGTGCAACTTAGCATAATGAAAAAATGCCCCAGTACGAAGGCAATTGTGTTTGACAGGTTTTAAAGATGATAAATGAACTATCTTTCCATGAATACTGAACACCACTTACAAAGAATGTATAGTTTGGGAATATTTTCCCAAGAGGTTATAATTTGTTCCTACTAAATAACATTGTTCTGAGATAAACTCAAAACATGTCAAACGTAGGGAATAATAAATGAGATTACTAACAAGGAAGAAAGGAGTACTGAATGATGGCATTGGATCAAATAATAACCTGCATCCAGAGGCAAGCAATTGCCATTGGGATAACAAGAAGCAAAATCTGCCAGGTTACTTCTGTCATGACACCAACAATGCCGAGCAGCTGGATTGTTGTTGAAGCAAAGCCTCCAAGTCTGAATGGAATATCAAGATCAATGACACTTTGATCAATAGAGACCTGATAGACCATAAGATTTCATTTAAATTATTCTGATATCTAGATGCAATTAACATATAAAGAAGGATATGATGAATTAACAAACAATCAAGTACGGAAAGAACCATGACATGCTAATGAAAGACTTCAACATACACGATTTAGAATACGCCCTGCTGGAGTGGAGTCAAAAAAAGACATTGGTGCCCTGAAAACTGTTCTCAGCATGTTCAAAAACAGCTTTTGTGCTGCAGCTAGACCAAAAGTAGCAACCAGAACAGCCCTAATAAAAATAAAAAACGAGCTCCCAAAGGCAAGGGCCATATAAACGAGAAGAAGAACCAAACTACTTGTTTTTGCTTCATTTCCAGGGGTTTGAGGATTTGCCCAAGCCATCCACCAGTTACTAGCTATTTGAAGAACTTGAAATAATGTTTGTGCAATAATGATAAGAGGAATTAATAAGCCTTTATATGCAGCTCCCATATATGATAGGTAAACTTTCATGCTAACCCTTCCTCTCTCACGTTCCTCTTCCTGAACAAGCTGCTTTTTCTTAGCACGTTTAGCTTTCTTTTTCTCTTTGATTGCTCTTTTTTCAGCAGCAGTTGTGCTTTCTTGCACTTCGTTTGCCATAGTGTCAATATTAGCTCCTATTGACTCACATTTTTTACTCATTAGAATTGATCCATCAAGAGGATGATGTTCGTCTTGTTCTTCGCACTCAAGGTAAGAGATGTCCATAGCTTCAATTGCTTCATGATGCGCTGAAACCAGACTCCTGAAGTCAGTTCCCGCTTCAAGAAGTTCATCATATTTTCCACATTGAGTGATACGGCCTTCCCTAAGAACCTACACAATAGAGAGTGAACGTAAGACAGGATGAGAACTGACTATGAATGCTACAGTTTCATTACACTGTTTCTTGTTGTGTTGGAAGGCTGGAATGCAGATTATGTGGTAGGATTGAAGAAATATATTCAAAACAGACATTTGTGCAGCAAGACTAATACTCCCTCCGTCCCACAAAAAAGTTCCCATTTTAAATAGTATTTAGTCAAATATTTACACGCTTTGACTACAAATTGTGAGAAATGTATATTGAATTATGAAATAAATTTTATATAATTGGATTCATCTTAGGATCTAGTTTTGATATCTCAAATTTTTTTAGCATTTCTTTATTTAGATTATATTTAATTTAAGGTCAAAGTGTGCAACAGTTTGACCAATTTATGGTCAAAATGGGAACTTTTTTGTGGGACGGAGGGAGTAATAGAATCCAACAATATAGGTTCATATAGCCAGACAACCTCTNAAGTTCCCATTTTAAATAGTATTTAGTCAAATATTTACACGCTTTGACTACAAATTGTGAGAAATGTATATTGAATTATGAAATAAATTTTATATAATTGGATTCATCTTAGGATCTAGTTTTGATATCTCAAATTTTTTTAGCATTTCTTTATTTAGATTATATTTAATTTAAGGTCAAAGTGTGCAACAGTTTGACCAATTTATGGTCAAAATGGGAACTTTTTTGTGGGACGGAGGGAGTAATAGAATCCAACAATATAGGTTCATATAGCCAGACAACCTCTCCAAGTGGAAGGAAAAAATCATTTGCCAATTTAACAAACTCTTGTTGGAATATCTTCCATTTTTATTTATATCACATAGAGTTGACACGTGCTTAAGACAAAATATATCAGGATAAAAAATTAAATCTGTTTTTGTTTTAACACTTCTACTCTGGTTCGTGTAGGGGAAGGGGAGGCCAATTTACAATGTATATTTGAATCATTAGGGCACTTCAATCAAACATTCAAACCCTCAAGTGACTGCAATCCATAGAACTCTATGGTGCATGCACTCGCTATTCTACACTAAAAGGAAAAGACATGCATTTCGCTGAACCACAAACCATCTCCTAAGCTAGAGAGAGAGAAAGAGAGAGGAAAACAGTGTGGAAGCTAAGAAAGTTATGAAAGCACAGAGAGAGAGAAGATAGAAAAGGAATGGGAGATCCACCATTGCAAGGGGCCAAGGGCTTTCACTCCTTTCAGTATATAACTAGAAACATACTGATACTCCGTTGGGCGCGATTTTTAATAAAGTATTATTTCTGTGGTTCTGGTTTGTGCAGAGGAAAGAGAAATAATATGGACCACAATCTTTTCCCTAAAAAAAGTGGTAGAGAATTTTGGAACAACTCAAATAAAAAAGTAGAAATACTTAACTTTGAGTGAGAAAGTGGTAGATTAAAGGAGCAGTACAAAAAATTAACTTTTAATGGTGCTTCATTTTTATTTATACTCCTGGAATATTTTATATCGATTATAACTATTATTACTCCATATCCTTCCTAAACTTGGTCAGCACTCCAATCAAAGAAAGACTGAGAAAGTGAGAAGTAAATGATCATTCACAAACTCCAATTACATTATCAAAAGCGTCAGAAATCAGAATTCATTTGGCCATATGTTTTGGGTAAGCTGTACAATATACCAACGTAAGATACAAATTCAATATATAAATACTGAGTAATAAAAGCAGCAATAAAACTACAGCAATAATGACAGTCCATTCAAATTCTCAATTTAGGCTGCTGTTAGTAGCCCGCCTCCAAAAACACAACAGAATTCTGTGTGCCTGGGCAAACGAATCAAATAACAGCATAAATAAAGTTTATTCAATAAACTGGCTAAAGAATCTTCAAAAGGTAAGCAGGCAAGAGCAACTTCTGGCAACCAAACGAGATATTACCAACATATAAATTAATCTTATGATAGTACAACTGAAGAATCTTACATACCAATATCATATCAGCAGCAGGCAAAAACTCAACCTGATGAGTTACGAACACCACAGTTTTTGTAGCAAGGGCTGTTATTATGTACTCCTGCAAAGAACAATATCACAACTAAATCATTTGGTTTCGCTTAAGTATAAACTCCGATTGAGAAATAAGAATGTTAACCTTGAACAATTCAGATCCAGTATGTGCATCAACAGCGCTGAATGGATCATCAAGCAAATATATATCTGCATCCTGATAGAGTGCCCTCGCTAGCTGCACTCTTTGCTTCTGGCCACCACTAAGATTTATGCCTCTATCGCCAATAATAGTCTGGTCACCATGCGAAAAAAGCTCCAAGTCCTTTTTCAGCGAACATGCATGGATCACACTTTTGTACTTAGATTTATCCATTGGACTGCCAAAGAGAATGTTATCTTCTATGGTTCCAGATTGTATCCAAGCTGACTGGGAGACATAAGCTGCAGCTCCACAAATCCGGACCTAATAAAACATTAAAAACTTGTTACAATACCGAAGCAAAACATCCATAGAAGTGAAAGTAATTCAGAGAAGCTATAAAGAATAAAATACCTACTTCACCAGTGAGTTTAGGGATTTCACCAAGGATGCAAGAAAGGAAGCTTGACTTGCCAGAACCCACCACACCACAGACAGCTACACGCATTCCTCGGTCAACTCTCAAATGTATGCCAGACAACGTTGGCCTTGTAGAAGATGCATCCCAGCAAAAGTCAGAGTTCTTAATTTCTATTGCCACGTTACTGCTTCCACGGGGCAATGCAATAGTTGCATCTTCCTGCAACTCCTCCTCCATTAGAAATCCAGATATTCGGTCAATAGATACTTTTGTCTGAGCCATCATTGAAACCAGGTCAGGGAAATTTCTAAGTGGTTCCTGAAGGATCCTAAAAGTGGCAAGAGCAGAAAGGACACTTCCTGCTGTAAGCTGACCCCCCAACAATATGCAGGTGCCAAAAGTAACAGCTGAAACAAATATAGGGGAACTCCAAAAAATGAAAGTAACTAGTGATTGGGTATAAAGAGCCAAGCGCAGATATTTGTATTCCACACTGCGCATTTCTTCCAACATAAGACGGTACCTATCTTCCCAAGCTTGCAGTTTTAGAATCCGCATGTTCCTAAGACATTCAGAAGTCTTTCTCATTCTATCATCCTTAGCAGCCATCAAATTGTCTTGGTAGTCTTCTTGAATCCGTGCTAATGGGATTGTTGCAACAATGGATATGACGGTAGCAATTAAGGTCGCAACAGATGCAATTCCGACATTCTTGTATAGAATTGCAAGAGCGAGGATGATTTGAAGAGGAAGCATCCATATGTCATGAAGGTACCAAGAGTAGTCACCCACCCTCTGAACATCAACAG